TCCCTCACGCGGGCCGCCTCGAGCATAACTGCTTCACAGAAGGACGAGACGGCGTTCCAGTTCCTCTCGCTCCGCACCATGGACTCGACTAAGGCCGGGCGCGAGAACAATACATAAGTTCGTTTTTTAGACAACTAAATTAATCTAGCAAACATTTTAGATTCAGCTGAGAGCTACAAAGAGATTATAAGTATACAAATTTTTAAACTTTCTCGTTTCATATTTACTTACAACATATAATAACGCGGGTATTCACGAGAAAAATAATTATTTAAATACCTTGGTAGGTTAGACATTTCGACCTAGTTGCACAGGTCGTAGTCGCAAGCAGACTGAAGATGCGATGTCACAGCTCCCTGCATTCGGGTGATAAATTTACATCTACCCCCTTATTTTCCTTTTCTACCATATAAGGCCGTCTACATACTACGCTGACCGTATCCACAGATGTGTAGCAAGGTATTTTAATAGTTATTTTTCGCGTTAATACCCGTGTAATTTTATATTGTAAAGACATTACTTATAAGTGTTATTTTAGACTACTTATAAGTAGTCTAAAATAACACTTAATAACAAGCTACCTTCGAAGCAATACTAGGGTGATAAGCATTGCTATGTTATTTTACTCTTTAAGAATATCACATAGCAATATAATATCTTATAACGTTATATAAGTGCTTCTTTCATAAGGCAGGTTTTTACCAATATCTTCATTTAAGCATCTCTACAACCGATTTAGCGTACAGTTTTTAAAGTTACCCGTTCCATAGCGGACGTCCCGACGTGAAACTATATCTCCCTTATTACAAAACAAGATTTATCTTTAGTCCAGGTTTAAACCATTGAGTCGGGTTTTGAATTTTGAATCTTATTCTCATCTATCTTCAATTTGAAATACGAAAACTGACTCACTGGTTTAGTCCTACACTAAAGTAAAACCTTGTTTTGTAATAAGGCCGTAAAAGTCTACCGCTAAAAAGCGGATCCTTGTAGTAGATTTCCTAACTAATCAAAATAAGCTTCTCTCGATTCACACCATGTTCTCGACTATAGCCGGTCGCGAGGGGTCGCCGCCGCCGATCACTTGCCTGAGGACATGGCGGTGCTCAGCCCAAACAGGGCACGCCGCCATTGTATATTCCACCGTGTTCATCGGGTGGTCCTTACAATGACGATGATCGAGATATCTACAAATATATTGGCGATAAATTTTATGTTGTTATCAATTACTGCATTGTATAATTAGCATCTTCTCAGTCTCAAGCTGAAGCCAGAATCAGAGTCAGAATAAGGTTGGGAAACTTACTCTGACAATTGCCTGACAGGGTATATATATTATTTTTATATTTCTCTGTATACACGCGTTACACTGTTCTCACATATTCAAACTAACTAAATAATGTATCAAAGAATGTTTATGTGACACTGATTTTAAAAGAGTAACCATGGAGTTTCTTGCTCGTTCTTCTCCATCGGAATCTACACTTTGGAACGAGCGAATAGCTTCACTAAGAGGACTGACCGACAGACTGACACTTTGTATCTTTAAAGTTGTGTTGACGTTCAAAAGTGCCTGTATGGGTCTAATTGAAATAAATAATTTTGACTTGACTTGACTTTGACTTGGTAAACCGATTATTTCCCGTCTGCTCCAGCACTCGACAAGGAGTCAGTATGGAAGCCATGAATGGAAGGAGTGGTGCAAACAATTTTCTCGGTTGTTCCAAGCTTAACTCGTCTACTTGTCGAAACGCACATCTAAGCAAATCTCGTATTTTCATGTTTGTATCAATGACCCTCCAAATGACCCATTAGCTAATATTTCTTTAACATGAGCATCTAACACGATCTTGGATTTATAATTACTTATTTATTATAAGTATGACATCGCAAATCCGCTTTAACAAAGCCTAGTGATATTGCTCATATTTATAGGAAGATGATGTGAAACGATGTCAAATTTTTTTGTGACGGGAAATTCACCAAATGTCTTCCCGTCCAGGTTGGGGCAGACTCTTATACCTGCTCTAGGCAGAGTCTACAGTGTAATTATCATCGGACGACGATTTTATTTTATAAGAACAACGTTAATATAAGCAACGATATTTTCGAATAAATTAATTACTACAGCGTAAAGGGTTTCGGCTGGACAATGGTTTGTGAAATACGTTGTGCTACGGTGCTTCCTTAATTAAAATATGTTGCCGGAGATTAAGGTCAATGCACCATGGGCAGAGAACTCCACGAAATTCATGAAAGTCCAAAAACTCGGCATGAGGTAGCTTTTTACTATATTAGAGAATTTTACTAGCCGCGCCTCTGGGCACGCTGTTCTGTCAAGTGGTAAGACTTTGAACCCTGACGGAGGTGCCCCACAGACATTTTGGTAATCACCTGTTTCGGAGGAGGCAACCCTCGATCATCCGGTTAACAAGGTGGAAAATACGATGGCGGTGTGCCCTGTTTGGGCTGAGCACCGCCGTGTCCTCGTGGAAGTGATTGGCAGCGGAGACCTCTCGCGTCCGGCCATAGTCGAGACCACGGTGTGAATCGAGAGAAACTCGGAAGCCGTCTCCGCTTTCTATGAAGCAGTGATGCGCTCGCAAAGAAGAGGGCGAAACACGTGAAGGAACTATCCCCTTCACGCCCCAGTCGCCGTAGTATGAGGCTACCGCAAGCACGGGTCTGCGAACGGCGAGCAAAGGTTGCTCGTCGCTCGACCCTAGCCAGACTCGAGCGTTCGGAGCGTAGCGCTCCCGTTTCGTTAAAGACCCAAAAAACACCTACAGATGGGGCCAATGTTCAGCCAGGATTGTGAGCCAAGCACAATTCTAAACCAGCCCCTGTCTGGAGCAGGAAAAAGAACGAATTTGATGATTCTGCCCCTCAGAAAAAAAAACAGTCCCGCCTTCTCACTTTCTTGGGGCACTTTCAAGACTCTAATAACTCAGACTCACTACTACTGATGGTCTCTTCCTCCACTACCACTGTAGTACGACACCAACCTATCACAGCAAGACTAAAGCGAATATGAAGAAACAAAATTAAAGTACTGTAGAGAAAGCTTTGAAAAAATCAACAGATTTTAATAAAAAGTCTCGTTATGAAAACCTATGTAACATGATTCTAACTGTATGTTCTATCTCGATAGCTTTTCATATGTCCGTGGTTTCGACGCACAAATATGTTTTTTCAAAACAAAATGTGACGGAATTCTATCTCTAACAGTCGTTAGCTTATATAACAGGAATTTTATAGCACGATTTCAGAATATTTGTAACAAAAATGGCAACAAGTGGTTGTATCAACGTACAACTTGGTACAACTCGTTCGAGAAATACTTTTCTTCGTTCGCGAAAGAATTTCGGAATTCTCTCTTTATGCTGTCAGATGGCTTGACGGGTATGGTAGCTATGAATAGTTGTTTTTTATAGAAAAAAAAGTATCATTTCGCAGTCACAATATAAGGAGAGGTACGATTGCGATGCCACCCTTTTGGGGATTGTTAACATTTGAAGATTTGCGGGTATCTTGTTTACAGGAGTTTCTTGTGAGACCGCCGTATCCTGTGGCCGTATCACTCCAGTCGAGCCAACACATTGGTGCCCACACATCGTTCTCCCATACTTCTTTATGTTTGTGGGAACAGTAGTTTCTTAAGATAGGAAAAGGGAGGATCATCCAATCAGGCAAGGTGATGATGCTCGGCGGGCTTCTTGCCTAGTACCTACTTTATAGTTCGGGTTTAGGTTACGGTCAGATCCAATTGCCAACGTCCATACCATGTTGTTGGCATCGGGGATCAAGGGACGATGTCCGGCCACCGTAAAGCGCGGGTATGCGGTCGGCGAGTAAGGGCAGCTCGCCGCCCGACCAGATCCAATAACCAATCTACTAATCTACTGGCATTTTGTACGGAGATAATGTCAAAATTCTTTATAAGAATAATAACTACTTAAGAAGTGGACGCACACAAAATTATATGTCTCGTGCAGTCCACACTTACCCTGGTATTGTTGTACAGCAAATGGTAGGTACCCGCGACTGGGCATAATAATAAGAGGTTCAATTAGAAGTTAACATAAAATCTTGCGTCATCACTTCTCTTATCTTCTAATTTGATTTACGAAATGGTCAAGAAACATATTTATTATGAGAATTAATTTGAGTTAGGGAATCTTGCTTATGTGTGTACCTTTATTACACTGAACTGAACAGTAGTGGATTCAGATTTCAAGGTCACGCTACCGACCGGCTTACTTCCTTTCTTTCAATAAAGGCTACAAAATTTGAGGTTCACTAGGCTCGTTAAAATTGACGCGCAAAATGCAACCATTCCATGAAATACTCAAGCGAACAAAACGGAATGACCGTGACACATACACGTGTATGTTACGTCGAAATATTGTTTTTAAAATTTACCTTGTTTCTGGAATTTTACAATTATAGTTTACTAAGAAATATTTTGTATCGCTTTATAAATACCTACTTCACTTGGTTGTATTCAAATCTCATTTCATATTATGATTACATTGGAAAATTGACTAGGTACTAGATTATGCATCTAATTATCTTTAAAACCATGTGCCGACCGAATGACTTTCGGGGAAACGGGATACAGTGGTCACGTGTTACCATGCATTGCGTACGACGAGACTAAAAGAAGACACGTGGGTAGGTCTCAACAGGGATGTGCTGTAAAAGGCGTTGAAACGGAGGGACTCCAGAGAAGCGTGGCGATGTGCCCTGCTTGGACTGTGCAGCGCCGTGTTTTCGGGGAAGTGACCGGGCGGCGCGGCGACATCTCGCGTCCGGCCTTAGTCAAAGCTATGGTGTGGAGTAAAAAGAACTAGGAAGTCAACCTACTTTCTGCGAAGCAGCTATGATCGCGAAGAAGTAGGTGAGGCGAGATAGGGAGTTATCTTCACCAGGAAGACCCGAGCGCGCGGTAAGCTACCCGGTTGAGCTCAATATGGTCGTTGTTCTCCATTTATGTCGCCTCACCCTAAGGCTTCTGCCTCGAATCTCGCGGGCAGCGGGGCGACGGCGGCGACGGCCAGGAGCGGCAGGATCTTACGCGTATAATCAATTGGACCGGCCCTCGAATACAGCGGCGCGGCAGCGGGACCGGCGCAGGCAGCGAGCGGTTTACTGTAGTCGAGCGGTGACCGACCGCGTCCACAATAAATCGAGCGTTAGACATTTGATTCATGAGAGATGATCTCCGGCTACCGTAAGCGCGGGTCTGCGGACGGCGAGTAAGGGTAGCTCGCCGCCCGACCAGAACCGGACCAGAGCGTACGGCGCGTAGCGTTACGCGCGCGCCTCAAATAGCCAATAGACCACCACAGACGGGGCTGATGTTTAGCCGGGGTTGCGGGGTAAGCGCAATGAGGCACCGCGACCTCGGCTCAGAGCATGAGAAGGAACGAGGGGGTTTTTAGTCAGTTAGTCTGACACTCTCTCTCGCCTTACCCTGGGCGGGAGAAGTCATTGGATGATTTTCCCCTGACATTTTAATCAAAAAGATGTAACCGCAATTGTTCAGACATTTTATTCGCGAATAAATGCAAATATGTCGACGACACAATAATGAACACAACACTAAACGGTTAAATAGACGCGCGATCCGCACGCTAGTTTCGAGAACGGGTCTGCGATGCCCGCTCCGCTTCCGCGTCGCCGCCGTTGCCGCCCCGCTACCCGCAAGATTCGAAGCAGCGGCCTAAGCGTAAGTCGTTTAATGATTTATTCCAATCAAACAAAAGAAACAATAGAAATTACCCAGTGATGCTTACAGGCGCTGTTAGTAGCTGGGCTCCTCATCTTTTTCCCCAAAAACCTAGGCGACTATTGACGGTTTTCAAAATAACAAAAAAAGTAAAAGATGATGAGCGTCCAATAAAGTAAGAGCTTAACCCAAAACAGCCGCCAGATCAAACATCGCAAGTGAGGGTCCATTGGCTACACATAATCCTGACCAAATACGTAAGCAAAAAAGTTTCAAAGGAATTCAGAAAAAATAGCTCACTCGAACTTTTTCTGAAGTTTGGAAAGTCATCAATGATGGGAGTGTCAAACTCTGACTAAAAACCAATTTGTTTATTGTCCTGTTTGGAAACGGCCGCGGTATGTCATTGCACCCACAATGGGCCCCATCTGAGTACCCTCAAACCTAGTCTGGCCAGGAGGCCAACAACTCTTGCTCGCCGCCCGCAGACCATGGCGATGGAGAATATCTGTGGACGATCTCACTCTCATCTAGGGGACAGAGACTAACAGAGTTTGACACAATTTCATAGATTGGCCAGCAAGATGAGAGCCGTTAAAAATTTCACATTCATCAGAGTGTGCCGCTTGAAATCTGTACTGTATCTTCTGCAAAAATTTACTGTATAGTTGCTTTATCCTTTAATTACAATACCCATTAGAGAAGTAGAAGCGGTAATAATTAATGTTTCCCACTCTGCCGGCCACTACTGTGTTATTGATGTAATAAACCACAATGAAAATTAATCGAAAATAAATCATAGTTAACTTGAAACAGTTATTAATTAAAGTTAAAGTTACTTGGAAATTTTATGAAAATATAAAACAAAATATGACATCGACTTATGCCCGGTACCTATATTTAACGAATCGTCGTTGTATACGCATTACGACCAAATGACATTACGAATAGTTATCTTGACCGTCTACTGACGGTTAAAATATTTATAGGAACACCACAGACACCATAGATCTCCATACAATTCGCTTACCGACATCCGTTAGTTGCAAACCGTCAGTAAGTTGCACGACGAGACGTTTGTTATAGGAACGGTTTTAGCTTACGAGTCGTATATAAAACTTCTATTCGTAACTAAAACGGATCGTTTCTCAATTATAGGAACCGGGCATTAATGAACACTCATTAGTAGTACAAAATAAAAAATACACTTCCGCTATCAAATTCAAAACCCGCGGGCAACGCAATTTGTTCGTCCATTTACTGTACAGTAGCTCGATCTATCGGTTAAAAATTTGAACTACTGGGCCACCTGGTTCCACAATTAATTGTTAGATGGCGTTAATACAAACTTTTATCGTGTATTTTAATGTTATGAGTCGAAGATAGATGGCGGTAGTTGGCGTATCGCTTGCCGTTAACATAGACGAAGTAGAATAAAAGTTTTAAGTAGGAATAAGCTAACACATGTCAATATCCATTTCATTATTTATCTCGCTAGAGCAGCAAAGGTATAATGTATGTATTTTATATTATGTTACTTGTTTCGCAAGGGCTGGTCTAAGATTTCGCTGCCATGGTTAGTTTAGGCAAAGTTTTAATAATAGACAACGTCTTCACACAGCATATTCTATAAGGGTTAGAACAGATGTAAAAGGTAGGAGCCTAATGTAAAAAAATACAGAACAGTAGCTGAGAAAATTTCGCAAAGTATGTATTAATGTGAGCGTTTTTCCTGTATGCTATTTTCTGCTTCTATTAGTAAGAGTAAAATCGATACGAACGTCCTCTGCTTACCATTTTAGAACTACGGGGAAATAACAGTATTTATTGATTTTCGCATTATTTTTGGTCAAAACAATGTTACGTCTCTTTCTAACATTCTGTTTGCTGCTTTGTTAGTCAAATATACACGATTTTTTTTATAGTGCACTTGAATTTATTTCTGTGTTGTGGGTGCGTTAACAAACATACAACATCCACATCACACCTAGAACCGCAACAACAATGTATGGATCACACAAAGTTCTTCTGTGTCGTTAATCGAAACTGCGATACGTTGCGTACGCGTTAAGCCAGATGCCTAGCTACCGCACCAACCGTGTAGTCACCAAACGCGACTACTACACGGGTTCTTTTTTAAAAGACAGCGTCCCAATAAAAATACTTTTACATGGGGTTCCTAACACAACTGATGGAAATTATGTGTACATGTTATTGTGGGATTATATAGACACTAGGTGCACAGACCGGCTTGCCTACCTCTTCGAAGATAAAAGTCGTGACAATAAAAAAGTACTGTGGATTTGCCTTTTCATAATCTAAAGAGGAGTATTAAGATGACATAATACTTATACATCGTAAGTATGGTTTTATTTTATATAGGTACTTATAGAGTAGTAGGTCGGCAAACGAGCATACAGGTTACCTGATGGTAAGCAATCAGCGCCGTCCTTGGGCACCCGCAATGACGGAGTTACGAGTGCGTTGACGACCTTTTAGGGATTAGGGATTTGGAGATTTAGGGATTGGGATAGGCGAAAGATTGAGTCTCCGGTAACCTTACTCACACGGTGAAACACAACGCTGTGGTTGCTTCACGCTGGTTTACTGTGAGGCCGTGGTATCACTCCAGTCGAGCCGACCCATTCGTGCCGAAGCATGGTGCATACAATTTTGGAAATGGAAAATGTTAGTTGCGCTAATAAATTAGTAAATCGCATTGCATTTTTTTTAACTAACACTAAACTATGTGGACTGACGATGGCTGTGGTTGGATGAGAAGAGCTAAGCATCGAGAGCTCAGTGGTGTGCAATTGGGGAGGGCTAGTCTAGCAGTGGACGAAATTAGATTGATGATGATGATCATTAATAGGATAAATTTTGTATTATTTTATAATATTTTCCACAAAAATATTTATTTGATAACTTTAACCTGAAAGATACTTGTGTATGAAAAACCTCTTTTCAGCCTAATAATACTAACCTTGGCCAAAAGCTTATACTAATAAATAATGGGCAATTTTATGATAAACAAACTGATTAACCTAAATGTTGGTTATTGTCAGCACTGATTTACAAAGAAAATGCTTTTCGTAGAAGAACCTAGTACTTGTTTTATATATTTTATAAAAAATAGATTCAGTACACGTGGAAATTATTAGAAAGAAGGGCGGGGCCGCTAGGGTTGTCATCTATGCTATTTTTTACTACATTATTCGTTGAACTTCACTTTTCAACAAAGGATCAATAAAAAATAGAAAATACTGATTTCAGCACCATCACGCCATAGTAGGTTGAACTCAATATTTATTGAAAGATATTCAGGAACTTATTTAAAGTGTCGTAAGTTGCTTGCGGATTTATTTTTATGGCCTGCACCAATTTTATTACACATTGCCAATTGCATTGTTGTATTAGGTGTTGGAGTCCAGTCCAGGGACCTCCTATTCTTAAACCAAGTTGGATTCATTTTCAGATCTGATATATTATTACATAACTGTTTATTTGGTTATGCAATAAGTTAGTGCTCTGTGTTTATCATCAGATTTTCCAACCCTACATAAGTGTGTGTGCTAAAATTCAATTATCAGTCAAAATCATACCGTCAGCCCATAAAAGCCCTGTAAGACCCGAGCGTTTGTCGGGTCACCGATCTCGAGCCACCGTAAGCGCGGATCTGCGGATAGCGAGTAAGGGTAGCTCGTCGCCCGACCTAAACCAAACTAGTTGTGCTCCGCGCGCGCCTTAAAGAACCAATAGACCAGCCCTATAGGGCTGATGTTCAGCCGGGGTTTTAGCATTAACCACTACGCTTCCAAATAGCATAGATATATACTCTATTATTACAAAATAGCTACAAATATACGACTATCAGTTAGGTACTTATATGTATAGGGTGACTTTTTGTCACATATTGTTACAGAGGAGTCGAAATAATTAATTATTGACCACGTTACCGATACCCACTTTAGCTCAGAGCATAAATTTAACTGTAGTATTAGATCCAAAAGCCGATGATTTCAGAACATTCAATTGCAAACAAATATGACGACCACACTATTTGTTATTAGATTCAATTACATGATGCAGCAACTAGTATTTCAATTAATACCAAATAATTCAAATACATTTAACAACAAAATCAAATACATTTGCGTTTAAATTTGGAACGGAAATAATAGTTAGATATACTGGTGAAAACAGGGATATATCGGTTTGTGCGTAGGCATAAGTAATTATTTTATTAATAATTAGTAATAATTATTATGTTTTCGGCTTACGTAATATTTTGACAAGATACTCGACTAGTTTCAAGCTATGCCATATTGTCCCCATGTCGCGCTGCTACAGTCACCGTGAGGAGCAGCGCGACAGTCGCCTGTTTGAAACTAGTCGAGTATCTCGAGAGAATCATACCTCGGTGTGATTCTCTTAGTTATAACATGTACTTGCACTGCTCTTCTGGTTATACCACCCACCCCTATTAGACAATTTCGCATTACAAACTGCATTTATTATCAGAAGGCCAATGAAGCCAGGAATATCAGATAGCAATAAACAAACATGAATATGTGTGCCACAAATACATGTAAAACAATAGACCCCTAACAAGCCATATAAATGGATATTCCAGTTATTCTGTATTGTGCCATGTGTAGTGCGTGAACTGAATATTTATTTCAATCCTTTTGCCCGCGGCCTCGCCCTCGTGGCTTTCATCATCAATATCATTATTATCAACAGCGCGTGATTCCATCGCTGAACTGAGGCTCGCCTAAACAATAGACTTTGCAAACCTCGATGATGGTGACATAATGATATCATTTATTACAAGCTTTTATTTGACTTGCAATTTATGTACTTATGTATTTTTTTCAAGTGAAATCTAACATGTTTGAAGCAGGTATCTTCAACTGATTAAGCTGAAATTTTGTATACACGATTATTTAGCATGACCATAAAAGCTTGGCTGTATAACTTTATTCTCCTTTGTACATATAGATCCAAGCTTGGTCTTGTTTTTTCACCGCCATAGTCGGCAATACCGACAAACCAAATATCCTTAACTATGTCTGTTGTAGTCGGCTATACTCGACATTAGCAACAAAGCGTATTTTTCATTAGTCGTCTATAGCTGACCATGGCGTTTAAAAAGTTACAAAGATTTTAATTTGTCTTTTTCAAGGTCATTCTATTTTGATCCAAATTTTGGGCAGAGATAAATACCCTTATCTGCCTGTATTATCTACAAATACTGTTACTCTAGATTCCGCTTGACATAGATCTGTTTGAGCATTAGCCAATCACATCTGTCCTAACGTAAATAGGCTTCGACAAGGACAAATCACATTTGTAATGTAGTCCCCTGTCCAAGAGCCATTTTGTGTAGCCCGACATTACTGCAAACTAATTTACAACGAGCAGACGAACTAATTAAGTAATTCTTATTATTAAATGGGGCAATGGGGCTTGGATGAAACCTCCGGTAGCATCATTTACACAGTGGAACACAACGCTGTAGTTATTTTACGCCAGTTTTCTGCAAGGTCAAGATATCAATACAATCGAGCCCATTCGGGTCGAAGAGCGGTTCTTTCCAAACTCACTCTTACCTTTACCGCACTTACTTCTTTTCTACACTTAGTAATTTTATAAACTATGTACACGCTACACCTTTGGTCGGTTATTGGCGACAATTAATAAAAAACCATTGACTGCTGAGGATGTCAATGAATAAAACTATCAATGCCATACAAATCCTATTTTAAAGCTAACGCGATCCAACAGGTGTGAAAACTCACACTAAGCATTCACATGTTAGAGTATGTAAAAAGTTAAAAAAGCATTGGTATAAATTTTCGAATAATATAATATATTCGAATTTTCGAATATTCGAATATATTATATTGTTGATGAGCCAATTGATGTCTATGATTTCTGGTGTTGATATGCTTTTGACAGTATGCTTGCGTCGGAACAAAACTGAAGTTGATTGCAACTTTTTTGAACGTTCTAGCGTGAAGATAGATAAACCTCTTTGGATTAGCGAGGCATTATCCTATCGAAGCGTCATGTCCGAGAGCGCGGTTGAGTTAAACGAGAAGAGCGTTAGAAAAAGGACGTGCAATACATTTTTTTTATTTCCTCCTGTATCGTGGGTGCGTTTAAAAACACATCACACCGAGACTCAGAACAACAATATGTAAATCACACAAAGATTTGTTCCGTGCCAGAATCGAACTCGCCACACGTTGGACGGCAACCGGTGGCCCAGCCACCGCGTCAACCGTGCAGTCAAATTGTTGTTGATAATTGGAGATATACACTATCAATAATAATTTGCGTAAACAAAAGTTCCTCGCAGCGTTCCTGGTGAGTTCAATCAAAACCCATCACTGAAATCCGGATTAAAATTTCAGATTGAAAGGGAAGGTAGATGGGAACATTCAAATTGTAAAAAATATGTTTAAAACACACATCTAAGAATATACATGCAATGAAACCAAAACACACTACTAAATACCGCATTAAAATCTGATCCATATTTGAGATAGTAAGTTAATAATCAACCTCTTGCTTTATAAATGAGTACCTAGGTAGATATATAAATACCAAAAGGATTTACATTACCTGCACCGTCACGAGTAAAAATAGTCACAGTCACGTGCACAGAGCCTTCAAGATGACTTTATTTTCATGGGAAATCGAGTGTAAATTGTATTCCGAATATTAAAGTTACTACGAGAAATTCAAATCGAGAAATTCTAGTCCAAGAGGCAAGGAAAACTTAAGGCGTTTATCTTAAAAGGTCACTAAAACATAAAGTGGCTCTCCGAGATTATTTAAGTATGGAAGGAAGACATGACACGAATGGGTCGGCTTGCGAATGGGTTGACCTGCGTGATACCACGGCCTCTCAGAATACCGGCGTGATACCACTGCCTCACCGAGTACCAGCGTGATACCACTGCCTCACAGAGTACCGGCACGGCGTGATACCACTGCCTCACAAAAAACTGGTGTGAAACAGACACAGCATTGTGTTTCGCCGCGTGAATGAGATTACCGGAGGCCCAAGCCTTGCCCTACCCCTATCTTTTCCCATTCCATAAGTTGCCTTAAGTTGCTTATACCTTTATGAACGTCGACCTCTAAGGCATTTTCTTACACAATATGTAATATATTTACAATATGTTACGTATTATTTAAAATCAAATCAAATCAAAATCATTTATTCCAACTAAACCATAAATAGGTACTTTTGAGACGTCAAAATAGAATAGTAGTCTGTCAGTCTGTTCGTCAGTGAAGCTAGGTGGCGTTCCAAATTGTAGTTTCAAATGGAGAAGAACGAGCAAGAAACTCCATCGTTACTCTTTTTAATGTGTTAAATGACCATGTGACTTCTATGCGATAATCTCCACGTTTAGCAGGCGTGTTGATCACAATTCTAAATCTGCAGGACAATCACGGGTACTTCTGTCTGCTCTGTGGAAGCACTAAGTCGGCTTTGACAACGACGGGAAGGGGGAAAGTGGTAATATACATATATATTTTTCATCCTACCACTTCATTTTATTTTATTTTAAATCGGGAGAAAGTGTTCACTGATATCTCTCGCCCAGGGATGAAGAGAAAAGCCTCTAAGAGCCTCATACTGACTAAAAACCCCTCGTTCCAACTCCTGCTCTAAGCTGTGAGCGCGGTACTTTGCCCCTAAGGTCTTAAGGTTAAGCTACTCACCGTCCTCTCGGGTCTGGTTCGCCACATCTCATTGAACGAGTCCTGTCTCACAGCAATAGTTTTTTTTTATTCTTACATAAATAAAATTCAATTCTCTTCTTCCCTATTTTAATTATTTTCCTGCTTAAAAGGCACGTAGTAATAAAAATCTGTCGCTAGCTCATAGACTATTACTTGCATACAGGTAAAAGTGCTACAAAGTCCTTTGTCGCACGTTTGCAATTTACTTGAGCATTTTCCAATATCATTAAATATGATCATTTCTTTCACGGAAGAGATATAATATTGATATTAATGTTATAGAAAATAATTATTGCCACTAGAAGTTATAAAAAATCATACATCAGCAATTCAATTACAAATTCTCTTTCCATTTTTGAAAAGTTATACCTACTATGTTACAAAAAGACAAGGTGACAAACTCCTTGAATTATAATAACATTTATAAACTTTGCTTAAAATTGTAAATCTACCTCATAACCAATGTCTCATAGAATATCTTCAATTTATATTTCTGAATTAAAACACAGTATAACACAACCAAATTCAGAGCACGTCTCATCGTTTCAGAATTGCAGACAGAAGGAGGCCTCCTATGATTTTCCGCTTCAAAAAATAAGCACATTTTTTTATTTCACTGAACCGCTTACGACGTTTGTCACGGACGCGCTAAGAAAGAAATGTAAAATCTATGCACGAAGTTCATGATATTAAGAATATTTAATTGATTTTGTAGGGCCTACAATCTGACAAATAAATATACCATACCTACCTCACCGTCAGATGAAGGTCACTCATAAAAGAAGGTTTTTTTATCTTAGATAAATAAGAAAACTATTCAATAACATTCATGATAATTCAGGTCGCATATAAAAAGGATTTCTACTGACCTGTCATCTTCTAGTTCATAGAACATATCCTTCGAAGAGTCATGGATGTAGATCTTCACTAGTGGACTGTCCATGTACTGCATCGTCAGTTGCTTGGGGAAACTTCGTACAAATAGTGCTTTTACAGTATCTATAGAAGTTATCTCGTTTGGCAGCAACGCTCGTTTCGTCTCGTTTCTGTATTGTAGGAATACTAGGCCTGCAACAAAAGAGGCTAGTTTAAGTATAGATGATAAAGAAACAGATATATTTAAATTGGTAATCTCTGATTGTCTGACAGACAACGCCACAATGCATCGAAATGGAACAGAAGATTATGATCCATATAGTAAGGTACTTAATACCTAATATTGTACACGAAATAATATGTTTCAATGACTATAGTCTGTTACATTAGAACCAGTAACAAAGAATGATAATCTGAAGAAGCTTAAAGGTGCTAGTAGAAGCTCACACGATACCACACAGGCTAAAGGATACCCCCTAAAATAGAAATAAGACAAAAAATACAATTCATATTTCACGTGGACGTAAGCGGGCAAAATATAGATAAAAAATATAAAAACAATAAATAAAAAATACACAAACGTGTGGGTGTTAAAACAATCCCACGCATAACAATTTTTGTTCATCGATTTGAAAATATTTTTAGTTTTTCAACCTACTTATTGTCTAATTAGTCTGATATCTTTGAAATCTCTTAATATAATCGTTAAAGGTGTTAATCCGTTCATTTTTATGAAATAAACAGATTTTATAGGTAGATTTATAAGTACCATATTGATGACGCGTGGTAAACTGTCCGTTAAGGAAATCTTGTACTTATGCCTATAAAGGGGTGTTAGTTATTCCGACCAACAAAGACCAACAAAAGTTAACATAACTGGATTTTGTATGTTTTACTATCCTAGTGGGCCAGAGGTGAGGGTGCCTGCTTCTCATGCATGAGGATGCGGATTGGCAAGTGCCAAATGTGACTTATTCCGGGTTATAATTAAGTAATTTCTATGTATGTATCATGAGGAAAGCTGGACTTATAATTTCTAATTGGCTTGAAGTCGCCAATCCGCCTTGAGCAAGCGTCGTGATTAATGCTCAAACCTTTTTTTCCTGTGATCGGTCGGCAAACGAGCAGACGGATGGACCATCAGGTACGGTGATAAGCAATCAGAGCCGCCCATGGACACCCACCACAACAGAGGAGTTGCGAGTGCGTTGCCGACCTTTTGGGGATTAGGGAAGCATTGGGGGAGGGGAAGGATTGGGACTCCGGTAACCTCACTTACAAGGCGGAACACAACGCTGGTGGTTGTTTCAAGCCGGTTTGTTGTAAGGCCGTGGTATTACTCCGGTCGAGCCGACACATTCGTGTCGAAGCATGGTTCTCCCACACTTATGTGTCTTGTCCTTTTCCGTGTGAAAAGAGACTTTTACTTAACAGTGAGCACGTATAAGCATGAGATGTGTTGTGTGTGTATCTTTTGTGCTTTCTCAAACTATCGTTGTATCGAATTTCATCAGAACCTGATATACCGGGATTTTAACGCATACATACATGGAAAGTTTCCTTTCCACAGAATTTAAATATCTTTATTTTCCCGGACGACAAACAATAGATTTTTCGACAGAAGTACCAAGTTTCACCTAAATCTATTGAGCGGTTTAATTGGTTGCTATGATTCTATTCCCGTATGTTTTCTGGACAAAAACTACCCTTAATTTTTTCTTGTGTGTCGGTGTATCGTCGAACCCAACAAATCTGTACATATGTATCTGTGCAATGTATTTTTGTACCAAATTATATATGTCTATGATCTATGATATTGGTAGGAGGAGGCGACGCGCCGGCCGGGCTCTGGGCAGACAGACAGGCTGACAAATCGATTACCACATTTCTAATATGTGTAACGATATCGCATTGTTTGTTATTAAAAGTAATTTTCTTTCTTTCATATCATTATATTCAAACTTATAAAAATGTTAAGAATAGAAAATCGTTTGCAGATTACAAGGGTCGGTCAATATTTTTCCTCGTCTATAGAATACCATAAACAAAATACCATCAGCAGCTGAATGTTTACAAATCTAAAATCAAACTAATCCGATTTACGTGATTCTTGCTTCAATCCAATCTCTTTACAGGATTTCCTTTCATCAGAAAGTATTTAGTTAGAGTATTTGTTTTATGAAGCACTTGTTGAAATGAAATCTATTTATTAGAGTTATCAGTCCACGTTCTGAAAATGTCACATTTTTTATACTCCCGTGGGTGTCACAAGCATTAACGACTTATAAATCTGCAACTTCGAAATTGCAGTTTTTCGGACCACCAGCCAAACGAGGACCTCTCTTATCTATTGGTTGAGTAGGTGAGGTATGTTTGTTATCAAAAGGCCTTCAATGCCTGTTAATTAGGATTTGAGGCGCGCGAGCTGTAGTTACCTGACCACAATTACTAGTTTACAGTCCTAAAACGCGAATCTTTTCTAGTTATTTTGTTGCATATAATATGTTATTGTTTGAGTCAGGGAAAATGAGTATTGAGTAAAAGAGATGAAGTGGGATGAACTAGTACGATGAGTGAAAGAGATAGGCGTATGAAGCGGACTTATGTTTAAGATGTGAAAGTTGGTGAAAACATTTTTGAACAAACAAAAGAAGGTGAATACGAGCTTAGACAAGTTCATGTAAAAAATATAATAAACTGCGTTTTCCAAGACCAATCCGATTTTACATTCAGCTCCAATTGAACCAAACCCACATAATATATAAAAATAATACCACATAACACCTAGGAATACCTTTCCAAAATACAATTGGCAGATTACATTCAAAAACTGATACCCGATTTTTTCATACAAACATTTCTCGGTACGTTGTGGTATTTTCCATTATAAAAATGTTCCGGTTTCTGCTTTAAAGCTTGGATTAGACTAATTTGAAAGGATTTTTTATTTCAATATTTCCATCGAAAGCTTAGTTTCAATATTTTTGCGTTGCGTTGCGTTGATTTTCGTTCTGTTTCTATTTGAGATTTTACATTCGATTTTCATACACAATTGGTATGATTTTAGAAAGGTCTTGTTGTACATAATAACTACTTTATTTCAAAAAGCAGCCGCATAATTTCTATAAACAATTTATCATCAGCCTTTAAGTGGAGAATGCTGAGCAAAGGATCTCACACGGAAAAGGTTAGAGCATTGATCTCCTTGGCTATTGGCCATAGCTATTGACTTTTTATGGAATAGGAGGCTAACGAGCAGACGAATCACCTGATGGTAAGTGATCGGCGCCACCCATGGACACCCGCAGCATCAGAGGAGTCACAGGTGCGTTGGCCACTGTAAACCAACTTATAATTGTAAATGATAAGTCCAGCTTTTCTTGCAACGTTTTTCTTCACCATATATTAGTGGTACCTGAATAACCCTAGAAAGTACATAGACTGGGAAAAGAGTCACATCGGTAAGGTTTCACAACGTCGTGCAAGACAACGTTATGGTTGTGGAAACTAAACGTGTAGGTATACAAATATTAATTTGAATTTTTTTCCAAGATATTACTTTACAGGCATACTAAACACATTGCAAGTGCAAAAAAACTTGTAAAACGAAGTAGATCGTGTTAGTAGAGTCGCTGAAGTTTTATTAAAAAAATCAAGGTTAAGCGCTCGAGTGAGAGATTTTCTGGTTGACTGACTTCTGAATTTAATACTCGAGGAGAGTGGGCGGGGTATTTATTACATGCAGATGTTCTAATTCATTTCTCACTATATTTTATTTGATATTTGTCTGAGTGAAGTAAGCGAGCATAAACCGTACTAGATACTTCTAAAATAAACCTTAATAAGAAAAAAATGTATTGTTTACCTTAAGCTATAATTTCGTATATTTTTGATATTGTTTTTTGACATCGGTCAAATAGCAAATTGTTTCTGGTACATTAGCTGGTTCCTATTACATACATGGTACTCGTAATAATTAAAATAAGAATTATTAAATTAGTCACTAAAGGTGGTGAATTGTTCATCACCACTTTTATAAAAAGTGGGCGTTACATTGAAGGTCCTGCAGTTACTCGAAAAATGAAATGGTGGTCCTGGATTATTAAAAAGATCTACGACAAGACGATTGACGACAGAGTCAGTCAGTGAATCTCATCATCATTCCTCGGAACGTGCGCTGCTGATCAAAGGTCTTCCCCTTAGTCCTTTACGTCAAATGGCTACTCGTCATCTTTATCCATTGGTATTGAGTTGTCATGCTTAATTGTAAAAAATAGTGTACAGTAAATGGTACTACAAGGCGTAATGCCGCTTTTTAACGACAAATTACACATCAGAAGTAGCAACATATTTACAGGAAATATTTTTTCATAAGTACCTCTATTTCGTTTCACAGAAGCATCCATTTGAAATGTAGTCGATCATTTAGAGTTTTGGAACTACTTATTCTAGCTACATTATATGCAGTGAACTCAGTTGATAATTCAAAGCCAGAGAAACCAGCAAAGTGGTAACTTTACCAGCAAAAGTTGCATTATGCATGATAAGTCAGATGTTTGGGTGTGGGTTCATGGAATTGGTAATTTGGTCTTAATAAAGGCCTTCTCTAGAAACGTCAAGGTTATTGGCAAGTTATACTCCTCAGTCTTCTATGTAAGTTGCTGCAGCGTTTGATTTTAGGGATCCAGGTTGTTTAGGGAGGTGAATGTCTGCGATCCTATGAGCATAACAATTTCTGAATAAGTGACTTTGAAGTGGGATGAGTCTAATTTTATTTAATTTCAATAAATTTATTTTTGTAAATATGCCACAAAACAGCACTTTTGTACGTCAAAATTATATGCAAAACGCGGATGCATATGATCGGATCCGACCGATGGATCATCTATGGGCGACAAGGGGTGATCTGAAGGCTCTATGAAGAGCGCGCGGGTCTAGTTCTGGCTGCGCGACTAGCTACCTTACCCTGGTGCCAAGGTCATTCCATCAGGCGCTCTTCCGACATAGCAGATGCAAGGGGTCGGCATTGCCAATGACTTCCCTAAACAAATGGCGGTGCTCTGCCTAAACTTATAAGTCTACCATGTACTCTAAGTGAACTCGGAATCATCAACAACTTAACAAGATAGAGTTGAAGAGCTTCCGAAGGATTCTAAAGACGTGCATAACACCTGATTTTATAAGGTCTGATGTGACCCCGTTTGCGCAAGGCGCCTTGTCATGTCTTATCCATTTGAGGATCAATGTAATCTCGTAAAGGTAGGTCTGGGATAACCTTGGTGCAGTGTCAGGTTAGATTTGTTCTTGGATCTCAAATTGAGAATAACAGGCTTAATGATCGAGGTTTATACGTGTAACTTGGCCATAGATTCTTGATAGGCGTAACACTTCGGCTTTCTTCGACATCACTCCAATATACCGCCTTTGCATAAAATATAAACGTATACGGTGACAACATTCTGAACTCGTTCTGTGTTTGTATTAGAATAGATTCATCATCATAATAAGCCTATAAGTGCCCACTGCTGAGCAAATGCCCCTTCTCATACGGAGAATGTTAGAGCATTAATCACCACGCTTGCTCAACGCGGGTTGGCGATTTTAAACTTATAATTAGAAAATATAAGTCCAAGTTTCCTCACGATGTTTACCTTCACCGTATGTCAGTGGTGTCTAAATAGTCTAGAAAGTACATGTAACTCGGAAAAAGTCACATTGGTACGTGGCAGGTTTCGAACCCTCATGCATGAGAAGCGGGCTCCTTAACCTCCGGGCCACCGCGACGAAGAAATTAGAATTGATTGATTATAAAGAATTAAATGTTTTGTTTACTTTTTTTATGTGATAGGATGACAAACGAGCGCACGTATTACCTGATAGTAAACAATCGGTGCCTCCTACTGACATCCACAACACCAGAACTACTACTACTAGCTATTAGTGAAACATTCCTTAGGCCTTTACCCCAACGGGTTTCGGAAATTTACATAAACTTGGGAGAGATTTGGGATTGGGATTCCGATAATGTCACTCACGGCGGAAAATAACGCTGTGCTCGTTACACGCCGGTTTCCTGTGAGGCCGTGGTATCACTCCTGTTAAGCCGACACATTTAAGCTGTCGCATGGTTCTCCCACAGTTAATCAATAGTATATATTTTATGTACGTTTTTTGTCTTTTACTGTAAGCGTAGATTGCGATCGTTGAGCGCTATAACTACATCCAGTACCAAATGAAACGGACGTCATTATTCTCAACGCGCGGATTTAGCAAAGCTTTATGATATTTCTTTTAATCCAGTCTTATTTTGGGATCACGGCCTCCTACAGATGAGGTGGACCTTTATCGTGGCTTTCTCTTTTTGATATTCTCATAATCCTATTTTATGGGATAGGATGGCAAGCGAGCACACTAATCTCCTGATAATTATGCGACATGATTTTGTAATTCCCAGAATTATGTAACTCGATAACTTTCAAAGAAAATTAAGAAATTTTCCAGCATTCTAGCAGCTTGGCTTTTGAATGCAATAGTCTTATTCTAAATAGATGTATGTACTTGCAGCTCAGAAAGCTGTATAGTTTCAAACGGCGCTACTAAAAACGGACTAAATACGTAACGTAGTTTCATCCTTCTCCGAATTGAGTTATAACGTGCCTTAAAATACTCGCACCTGGAGTACTTTTTAGGTTTAAAAATATCGGTCCGAAACGGTTACCTTTACTAGATTTTCTAGGGCTTTCGGTAATTTGATTCAATGTCAGGCTGTTACTACTATTTATTTACCACTTGACTTATGGTATGTGAAATATTTTGGATCCCTACCAAGGGTGTTGCCACTTTTATATGGTTTTAATATCACTATAATGTGCCTGTGTTTGTACTAATTTCTTTTACTAAGGACCGGTCAAGGTTTTATATGCTTACCGGACGAGGAAGCTGCGGTTGGTATCTGTTTCGGTGAGAGAAAATGCTCTGACGTTGGTATTGAGAGGGCCATCCGGAGGACACGTTGGAGTATAAGGTGGCGGTGTGCCCTGCCTGGGCTGAGCATCGCCGTGTGCTCAGGTAATGATGGTGCAGAGTGAGGAGAATGAGAATCAATCTTCGCATTCTGCGAAGCTGTGATTATCGCAAATCGGGCGTTGGAAATCGCGTAATGATCTCCAGCCACCCCACCACGGTGGTCAGCGAGGTGCAAGGGGGGCTCGATGTCCGACCACAACCAGACCCGATCTGAGAGTACAACGCGTAGCTTTCCGCGCGCGCCTCCAAGAACTAATAGAGCACCACAGTTGGGGCCCAACAGGTGTGATGCAGCAATCTGGGTTGCGGAGCAAGTAGTTACAGTTCGCTAACAAAACAGATGACTAACACCGAGTTAGATCAAGGCCTAACATTTGGTAGAAACCATAAGTCGCTCTATAGCTGCTACCAAGACCTAGCTACACTAGCCGACAGATTTCAGTTTTAAGTTTTCAGTAACCTTACTCGTACGGCGAAACATAACGTAAGTGTTGTTTCACGCCGGTTTTCCGTGTGCCGTGGTATCACTCCTGCCGGCCCATTCGTGTCCAAACATGGCTTTCCCAGACTTGATTTATATTCTACAGGCCACTTATGTATAATTTCTTGGTCAAGTACTGAATTATTAGAATCACGATATAATCAAGGGATTGTTTGTTAATCAACGCGTAAACAATTAATGATTACTTAACTAATCTCAAGCTTATCTTATCTTAGGTTGATTATTAATAATAATTAGTAATTAATTAGTCAATTAGCGTTTCTGATCCAAAGTATGTCATACATAATAATATCTAAAAGCGGTGTTATTGGTAAAATCATTAGCACGGTCCTTCTTTGTGAATATAGGAAATCTTCAATTTACTTTTCTGCGCTGAGACGAAAAGATGTGAAAGAACTTCAGACACTTACTGTCTAACACCAATATCAACGAAACAATTAAACAAGGAATGAATAGGACATACATAATACAGCACTTTTACACCTCAGAATTATATGTAAGTACAAAACTAGATGAAGCCGAATATTAGCTCCTGTCTACCTACATCAATCGGAATTTACTGTAATAGATTACATTATATGCGACAGCCTGACTGCCGATTCTAGTCAGGGCGGCGAGCCCAGAAGCCGAGTAGATCCTCAACTATTCCAGAGGAACATAACAAACTGACTCTGGAGTACCCTTCAGCATCGAGCTTTTAGGATAAAAACTTGTGCATATGATGACAGCTAAAGAAGAAGACTGACTCGTTACCAACCAGGGATCGATTCCCTAATCGGACGTAGTATCATTAAGAATTATTATAACACACCCTACACACCCTATAACTGCTTACTGCTTAACAAGGGCCTTTTTTCTCACGGAGAAGGTTGAGCATTTATCACTACGCTTGCTCAATTCGGAAATCCAGGCATTCTCAAGCCAGTCGCGGATCAAGCCCAAAAAAGTACCCCAGCCTCAGCCTGGAGCAAAACAAGGAACAAACGAGTTTTTAGTCAGTAACAGCTTAACACTCCGTGTCGCCTCAGGCCGGGCGAGAAAAATCATTGGATATTTTTTTTACTCTCTTAAAAAAGATTTCTAACTATATTTTACTATACCGTGTATCAGGGGTGTTTATCTAAATGTTTTTAACAAGAACCTAAATATGTATAACTCGGTTAAAGTCACAATGTTCTATTATAATAAGACCTGAAATCAAAGAACCGTCGTTTTGCAAAAATTAACTCAGTTACTCATATAACTGTGATACTATAATATGTATATACATGAATGCATACGAAGGTACAGGTCATGAGAGAGATAAATAAGTATGCTATTATAGATTTGGCTGGCGCGCGAACTTTGTGCCAGGCCATCGTCCGGACTAGTTACCCCGTACAAGGTCACGGCGAGTTCACATCGTTCACGGTTACTGTGTCAATATGAGGCTGGGAACAGGAAGAAAAACATACAACTTGTAGTTCCAAATAGTTCTAAGCTTTCTTTTATAATAACAAAATCTTTATTTGCACTAATGGTAAGATGTTACAATTGTTAAAGTTCAATATGTTTGGCAATAATATTCTGTTCTTAAAAGTAAGGCATAAACAGAGGGAGTGCCAAACTTGCGCACGACTGGGTAAGATAGACCAGAGTGATACACGGCTTTCAAAAAAAACTAGGTGAATCATAATTGTGTTTCACTGTGTTGTGACCGGAGGCCCAATCCTTCCCCTCCCCTTACATTTTTGACTAAACTCCCAAAAAGTACGGAAAATGCAGTCTCTTTTCGAAGATTTCTGTAGGTCAGAACTGAAAAATACTCTTTGTGTAATCCACAAATCGTTTGTCAATGTCCAAGGTCTTATGTGCATGTCTTGCACCCATCGTGTGCAAGCAAAAGAAAAATACAGCGTGGGGTAGTATTAAAAAAAGTAACTTGGTCATCGATAGCTTAACTTGGTTGCCCTGGTCAGTCACGCTGCACAAGTTGGTTAACTTCGTTACACCCACGAAACTATCGGGTCCACTAACGATCTAAATTGATGCCTCGTGCCGTCACAACTTTTTTTACACTGTCAAACTATCATTTTGGTACAGGCTGTTTAATATCTAGCGCGAGGATGCCGACGGCGAGTAACGGTAGCTCGCCGCTCGACCAGAACCAGACCCAAGCGTACGGCGCTTAGCATTCCGTGCACTCCTCAAAGAGCCAATAGACCACCACAGACGGGGCCCTATAGGGCTGATGTTTAGCCAGGGTTGTGGGGTAAGCGCAATGAGGCACCGCGACCTCGGCCCAGAGCAGGGTTTAGTCAGTAAGAGTCTGACACTCCTTTCCTGGGCGGGAGAAGTCATTTGATGATTTCCCCTGATAAAAAAGGGTTAATACATAATGTTCGAAATTTTTTGATAAGTTTTAAACTTATACTTCAGATAAAATTTCTCATTGAGTTTTTTGTGTAGGTTTTGTTTAAGATCTTCCAAAATAATGATTCTAGAGGTGACGTGGTGGCCCGGAATTAAGTCATTTGCTTCATTTGCTAGCTGCGAGTTCCAAACCGTGGATAGTACAATGTACAATTCCAAAACGTGGATAGCACAAAAAGTGGATAGTACAATTGTGACTTTTTCAGAATTACGTGTACTGTATGTATTTAAAACATCGTAAAGAAACCTGAAGATAGAAGATACTTAAAAAGATAAAATGTAGTAAAACGTTATAGTAAAAGTAGTATCGATACACGGAACACCCTGTACATTGACCAACTGCGTCAAACCTGAAGGTTTGATAATTCCAAAAAGTGAGAGGACGTTACAAAATTATTTTACCTGACCCAAAACGTAAATCTACTTTTTCATTTCATCGTTATAGTTCATATTTTAGGAACGCTTGGGAATGCTATAAATACATCTAAGTTATTTTGGTGTCATTCAAAACAATATTTTTTTACCTCCGGAAACAATTATGCTCAGGACAACTAACTTAGCATTAGTGCAAAAAAAAAATTATTACAATTTAACCAAATGAGGTAACTTTTTTTATGTAATAATAGGTCGGCAAATCGGCAAAGTCGGCTGTGGTTGTTTCACGCCGGTTTTCTGTGAGGCCGTGGTATCACTCCGGTCGAGCCGACCCATTCGTGCCGAAGCATGGCTCTCCCACACTTAACACACACAAACATCTACTTTTGAAAGCCGAAAAAATAAAAATAACAGTCTGTATTTCGTCTTACTTACGTACTTCGTAGGTACTACTTGTGAATATTAATTACTTATGTAAAAATTTTTGCAATACAAAATAATATAAAATAACAAATAGTAAATATCCCATAAATTATTAAAATATTTGTCTAAATTTATAGATGAAAACAAAATTTAAAAATATAAAGTTGCTTAAAATAAACTGACTGTGCTGTTCCCGAAAGTTACAGTTGGACGGTTCGGTAATCTACCATCACTGAGCAAAAGCCTCTTGACACACTGAGAAGGTTTAAGCATCTTTCGAGAATCACCACGCTTGCTCAAGGCGGATAGTAAACTTCAAACTTATAATAATTAGAAAATAAAATATATAATTAGAAATTATAACTCGAGGTTTGCTCACGATGTTACCCTTTACCCCTTTACCGCGTGTCTGTAATGCCTTAATGAAAGTACATATGACTCGAAAAAAGTCACATTGCCACTTGCCAGATTTCGAACCTACCTCTTCATACATGAGAAGTGGCCGCCATCACGACGTTCCACAACGTATTAACCAACTGTTTAATACAAATTTAACAACGTTGAAAACTATTCTTATGAATATTTATATTTAGATGACAAATAATATTATCATTATATTTTTCTTATGGTATAAGTCGGCAAACGAGCTGACGGATTACCTGATAGTAAGCAATCGGCGCTGCCCATGGACACCCGCAACACCAAGGGAAGGGCGGGATTGGGCCTCCGGTAACCTTACTCACACGGCGAAACACAACGCTGTTGTTGTTTCATGCCGGTATTCTGTGAGGCCGTGGTATCACTCCGATAGAGCCGACCCATTCGTGTCGAAGTTTGGCTCTCCCACACTTTTCAGAAACACTATTCTCAAAAATATTGAATACATTAAAATAATTTTCCATTTTCATAACTTACATTACCGCGACTAGAGTTGCGGGTTAAGCGTAAAACGTTCCCGTGCGGGTTAAGCCCGCAACAGGAGTTGGAATGGGGTGGCTTTTACCACCCCTTACAATATAGCTAGGTATCGTGGATTATAAGGGATTAAATATACTCTGTAACAAACGTTTACCAATCAATAATAATGCCTAAAATCGCTTGAACGGAAGTCTTTGTCTAGAAATGAAACAGGTACAAGTTTTTGGCGATGAGAAAGTTGACGAATCTTACTATAATTTTATAAATGCGAAAGTTTTTGGTACTTAGTACAGATAGACCAATGTCTATTTAAAACTATTGAACGAATCCGAATAAAATTTGACACAGAGATAGATTATAGGCCATAAGACAGGCTCTTTTTATCCTGATATCGTTCACTGTAGTTTAATTTTCATTAAACCCTACCATAGCTCCCCTCACCAACACACGTGTAGCGATTCCAGTTTCACCTATCATCAGAATCGAAGGAGTGGAATTCTTTAGCGGAGTCTATATTCCCTGAAGGGTACAACTTGGGTGTCTTCAAGGCCCGTGTCAAACCGCTGGCTTGCAGTGATGATAGGCCTCATCTTTTACCACCAGGAAAGATAGTGGCCAAACGCCGCCAATCTATACTTAATATTATAAAGCTGAAGTGTTTCGTTTGTTTTAATGCGATAACCTACGTAACTACTGGTTCGAATTGAACAATTATTTTTGTAATCGTTAGTCCATTTATCGAGGAAGGCACGCTCATATCTGCCGAATTAGGAGCCGAATAGCGGGTGAAACCACGCGAGATTAGCTAGTTACAAATACAGAAAGATACTTTACATTGAGACACAACATTTTTAGCTAATCAGGAAACCGACTCGTCGAAGTGACCAGTAACATCTAATAGTCTGCATGTAATTGGAAATGTTCGACCACTAACTGGAAGTTTGTTACATCCATTCAGACGTTCCGTCCCAAGAACCATTAATTAGCAAATTTACGTCTTACTTCGTTGCTATTACAATTAAAAACAGACTTACAACAGTTTGATTTAAAATCTAATTTTCGTTGCATTTAGAGCTTGTTCTACAATTTCTGATGTGCAATGTACGACATAAATTTGAACATAGAATTCTATTTGTATAGACTGTGAGCCATATAAGTTTATTGCGAACTTATATTATATGTTAATAGCAAAACAGACGCTCAAAGGAATGTTCAGTATACATACCTTTATAATCCCAAACTATATCGTAAATGTAAAGGCCTGTAATATACCACAATCTTAATAATCTTAAGATTACTTATCTTAAAACTCGACAATATTAAATAAACTCAAGCATAATAAAACTCACATTTTAATATGCTTGTCGGGCGAATGGGTGGGCTCGACCTAAGTGATACCACGGCCTCACAGAAAACCGGCGTCAAACAACCGTAGCGTTGTGTTTCGCCGTGTAAGTGAGGTTACCGGAGGCCCAATCCTTTCCCTTCCCTAATCCCTCCCAATCCCTAAATCCCCAAAACCCTAATCCCTAAAAAGTCGGCAACGCATTCGTAACTCCTCCGTTGCGGGTGTCCATGGGCGGCGCTTATTGCTTACCATCAGGTAATCCGTCTGACAGTTTGCTGACCAATAACATAAACAAATCTGCGTCATTAAATAAACGGATTTTCTTTGCATCAATATTTTAAAAGGACATTAATTTGCAAAACAGAAATTCGCTAGACTTGTTCTTGGTCATAAAAAAAAAAATAGCTCAGAGCTTCCTTTTGTAAATAAAAACAAAGATTACTTCAGTAAAGTCATCTAGAACTCGGTAATAATAAAAACAAGTAAACGAAGCTATTTGAGCTCGCAGCATCTTTGCTGGGTCAAAACGTAAAACGACAGTCCTTAAGAAAATAAATACATAATGAGATTTTTTCAAAGGATTTTTTTTTCTAATTACTTCTTCGTACCGACTAGCTTTTGTATTGCATAAACTTTAATTTATTTCAATTTTTATTTAACTTGCAATTATGCAAGTAATCATTGCACGGTTGGCGCGGTGGCTAGGCAACTGGCTGCCGTGCAACGTGTCGCGGGTTCGATTCCCGCACGGAAAAACTCTTTGTGTGATCCACAAATTGTTGTTCCGGGTCTGGGTGTGATGTGCATGTGAAATTGTATGTTTGTAATCGCACCCACGACACAGGAGAAAATCCTAATGTTTACCGTATTATGGTAATGTGTATGGTATCGTTTTTATCAAAAAAAAAACAGGTAAAGTAGTATTAAAGTAGTATTGAGTTGCAATATTATAAATAATGAAACAATTAATTTAGTTTTCCAAATAGGCCATAGTACGTCACTTTTACACGACAAACCGGCTTTTCTATATAAACTTTCACTACTAGACTGAGAAAAATACAGAAACAAACTCAATCATCCGTCTTTTTTCAAGTCCAGACAATAAAAAATAATGTGACGGAAAAGTGGTTCAAACTCTTTGACATCATGACGTCAATGGATGGTTGTCAAACGTTGCCTAGAGATTGTAAATTTCGTCGTGAATTGTCAACACGAGTTGGTGTAATCGGCAAGGTGTGTGGATTACACCACAGTGACCCCGAGTTCGAGTCCCGCCGTGAACATGAAGTTTTTTAGTTGATGGAAGTTTTGTCGAACTTTCTGGAATTATTTGTGTGAAAGAGATGAAAAATTAAAGAGTGAGAAGGAGAATAAATAAAAATGAATAGCGAAATTATTGGAAGGTTCTGGAGGCATGACGATCAAAAAGAATAACGAAATTGAATGTTCCAGAACCTGACCGGGGGTATATAAGCAGAACTGCGGCTCACCGCTGGCAGTTGAGTTCTAAGTCTAAAGCGATTCGGAAGAAAAGGAAGAAGTGAGAAAGAAGAAAAGTGATTGAAATAGTGAAGTGCAGTGAAATAGTGAAGTGCAGTCAGTTAAGTGAGTTAAGTCAGCGTGAACGGCAAAGTTGTGTCAGTCGGCCGGACTCTGCTGGAGAGGAACGCCGATAACTTAACTCCGTGGACGCTGTAACTTAAGTGCAATAGAAAGTCTGAAAACCGGTATTAGTGTTTCATTTCATCCAATCCCGTAACCCAAGCCCGCATAGTCAGGAACGTGACGTCAGGCACGTAACATTTGGTGTCAGAAGTGGGATTGGAGAAAAATGCCGCTAGTGCCGCAGGACGTAAGAGGAGTGAGTACCCGTGCTATGTCAGAAGCGCAGCGTGTGAGGGAAGAGGGTGCTGCAGCTCAGACCAGCGATGCAGAAGCCAAGCCTGTGCAGATGGATCTTCTGCTACAGCTGCGGCAAATGATGGCAGAACAGCTGCGTGAGCTGAAAGAAGATCAAGCGCGCCGCCAAGAAGAGCAAGCACGCTGTCAGGCAGAACAGCTGCGGGAGCTGAAAGAAGATCAAGCGCGCCGCCAAGAAGAGCAAGCGCGCCGCCAAGAAGAGCAAGCGCGCCGCCAAGAAGAGCAAGCGCGCCGCCAAGAAGAGCAAGCACGCTGTCAGTCAGAACAGCTGCGGGAGCTGAAAGAAGATCAAGCTCGTCGCCAGGAGGAGCAAGCGCGTCGCTTGGAGGACATGCATAAAGATTTCACGAAGGGACTGCAAAAGGCTGTCGAACGGGTACAAGAAGTGGAGGAAGGGTTAGGCAAGTTGGAACATCGCGTCAAGGCGATAGAGGAGAGAGTGGAGGAAGAGATCTCCAAAATCAAGCAGGAAGTGACAAGCCCAAGCCCTTTGAAGAGCCGAAGCCGTCTTGCAGCCGTTTTTGAAGCCCCAAATGCGGCTTCAAGTGCAACGAAAGGGCTTAAGATTCCCCATTACGACGGAACAACATCCTGGACCGCGTTCAAGCTACAGTTTGAGACACTTATGGAGGCTTATGGTTGGACTCAGAAGGAAGCACAGTCAGCCCTTACCCTGGCCCTCCGTGGTCAAGCGCTCTCAGTGCTGGAAGCTATCGGCGCAAGTGGG